TAAAGACTTGTGTCGTTAAAATTTCGTCGGAACGAAGTTACGGAAAAATCAATTAACAAACGGAGACGTAACAATACCTTTAAAGGGGAGACCAAAAATAAAACAATACATCAAGGTAAAACCCCATAAATGGAGGATAAAGAGTTAGGTGCTTGCTCAAAGCAAGACAGGTTTTGTAAGCTTTCTTCAAATATACACTGGCAGGCAATTTTGTCAAGAACAAGTAGGTGGTTTAGTCCAGCATGTTGTACATGACCGTACCCAAGGTACAGAGGGTAAATTTTAGCACCTATACACTGATAATTTATGTACATTTGTGGTACTAACTGATATTCCAGAAGTAGAGAAGTGTACTTATGTGAAACACTTCATAAAAATGCAGGAGGTATACCAAAATCACCGTATCTAGCATCGACTCAACTTCAACATTGTGAACAAGGTTTGTACTGGTGGTTTTCAATATTTTAAATTCAATTATCAACCATTAAATAACATTTCATTCATCAACAAATACCTTTGCTAAACAGAAAATGCAAGTCCATAAGAATTGTATTAACACCAATTTACATAAAACATAGTCAACACGTATGCACTTTCAGAGAAGTTTGTATGTTGTCATTGTTATTAAGAAGACTACTAACTAGTCCAAGTGAAAGGTATAATAAAATAAATACTCAATTCAAATTATATGCATAAAACTAATCATCCTGTGTACATTTATATATTAAGAGGATATGAAATAGATATTAGAAAGTTTGATAAAAACAAAACATTGTAGAACCTAAATTTCCATCTAAACCAAAAACAAATCCCTTAATAAAATGTTCTTGAAAAAGTTTCTACAAAATAACAAAAGGTCTTAATCAAACATACCGAGGTTAAACACAATATGAACAAAAAAGAATTAGTCAATTTAAGAAAAAGCCTCACTTAATAATCAAAATAGTCAACAAAGGGAATAAAACCATTATACTCAACAAAAGTAAATACTTTACATTAATGAACAAAGGTTTAGATGACTTATGAAAATATATTGAATTTGACAAAACTTAACTCCAATATATGAGAAGCAGATGAGCCATGTTTTAGAAAAATTACTAAAACATCAATACATTATTCAACAAATGCAAGGAAGCAAAAGCAAAACACTGCCTCTATGGTTTACCAAGGGTTCATAAAACACCACTAAAAATCTGAATAATGTCCACTTATTTGACTTTCAACTACAACTCTGGCATCGTTCCTGCTTGTATCATTTCACCATATCATTTGTTAAAGTGTTGAGCTACAGGTTTATCTAGATCTTTAATCAAAATGCTACACAAGTGTCTTCGTGTGAGTTCAGAGAGCATACGGCTGATTTCTCCCATGTAGATGTGGTCACAGTAGTTACAAATAATACAATAAATTAAATATTTAGATGTACATGTGAAATGGCTATTAACAGTATAGGCTGACTTAGGGCTCTTAACAGATGTTCTATGATCGATGAAAGGGCAAGTGTTGCATCTGCTCCTCTGGCAATTGTACGTACCAATTTCTGTGTGACATGGTTGTTGTATGTTGTTCGGAAGTTGACTGTGGACGAGTATATTTTTAATGTTAGTGTCACGTTTAAAAGAAATTAGGGGTTTATTAAGAAACATGACTGGTGGTACTGTCCTGTGTAAAGATGTGAAAGGTGTCAAGCAATATATGAGTTAGTTGTGTGATGAATGGGTGATATGTAAGTGTAAGGGGAAAGCTTTTATGATCGGTGGTAGTAGAAGTGCAGTAAGCAGTAATTTGGCAGAAGAATACATTTGTTTCTTGTAAGCTCAATTCTCTCTCCGAGTTGACTGAGTGCTGGTGAACAGAGTGCATTCTGTAAAGCTTTTTTTGTGTTGTGTTATTTTGGTTTTATTACGTTTGTATTCCCATGGTTTTCATCTTCAATTTTGAAGCCTATTTTTACATTTTACTGATCTGGTTTACACTTGTTATTTAATGAGCCAAACAACAACAAGTGATTTCTCTTTACCTGTATGAAAGAAAAGTAAACTGGATGAACTTACTCCATTAGATTCATGATGTTAGAAAAACACATAGGTTCAAGAAGTCTTGATATAAATGAATAAAAACTCCATAACCCGAGTGCTTTTGAAAGGTCCTACTCCGTTAGAGTTAGTGAAGAAGAGTATCAGGTTATGTCAACTTCAGCTAATGTGATAAAGAATGAAGAAACTGCAGAAAGTAATTCAAAGATTACCCAAATATCATTACATATAGATGTTAATGGTAGTAATGCACTAAGGTTTAGTGAACCACCAGATTGTTAGAATTTGACCTAAAAATAAATTTTGTTAGAAGCATGAATAGTTGAAAGTAAAAAGAAATAAACTTGGCTGTGTAGTATGTAAAAATGTCGGAGTGCTTGGAGATGACAATCTCAAAAGAATGGGCCAATACTGAAATTACCCACTGTCTAGATATAAGAAAACAGCAATTCATGTCTTTATGTAAAAAAAATATTTGAACATAAAGAAAGTTCTGCCCATAAAGTTGTTTTGAAACTGGCTTCGGAAGCACAAAAGGAGGCACTAGAAAATGTGTGCATAAAAGCTGTGGCTTACGACAGAGAAATAACTGTCAAGATATTTCAAACAGCCTACAAAGTAGCCAAGAAAAAACAATCATTCAATGATTTTGAATCTGAGACTGATGTACAGGAACTAAATGACATTGATATGGAACACATACTTCACTCCTCCAACTCATGCATCAATATAGTGAATCATACTGGGAAAGAGATGAGAAAAGCCCCATTAAAAAAAATTATAGATTCTAAGTCTAAAATTTCCCTGCTAATTGATGAAAGCATCACACACTCAGTCAAGTTTTCATTTTAATCCTCTACATTCATGTTTTTCTGTCAGGTACTGAAATGACAAATTCACTGAAACTGTTTACTGACTTGATTGCACTAAGCAATCCTGTCTTTGCAAAGGCATATTTAAATCAACTGATTGATAACCTCAAGTTGCTATGCTATACAGAAGAATATTTACATGAAAATTTAGTTGCTTTGGCTTGTGATGGTGCAGCAGTCATGTTTGATAAACATAGTGGCGTATGAGCATTGTTAAAAGATATATGTTCCTGTGAATTCTAACATGGCACTGTGCCAATAACAGATTAGAGCTCTCTATTGCAGACACTGTAAAAACTGTTTCAGGAATAAATAGACTTAAACCTTTCATGGATAAACTATATATGTATTGTACCATGTATCACCAAAAAATTCAAGGGAACTACAAATTTGTGCAAGTCTCCTTGAAGCTCAACTGTTAAAAACTGGATGGATTTTATGTACACAATGGGTTGTTTCATGTTTCAGCAGGAAGACTATGAAGCTGTAGTAAGACATTTTGAGGAAGCTAAAGATGACTAAAAACACAGAAATTCAAAAGAAAAGAAGCATATAAGTAGGTCTTCTTAAGAAAATAATGTCAGCTGAATATGTTTTGGATCTTGGATTGATGTGTGATGTGCTGCAAGAATTATTGGAGCTTAATCTTGATCTAAAGACATTAATTTGTACACAGCCTATCGAAAAATACAAAAATTAGGTAAAAGTTTTTGAAGATAGAATCCTGAAACATGGACCATACTACAATCATACCATTACTGATGTTGACAGATTGGAATTTAAAAATGTCCCTCTTCTTAAAATAGTTAAATTACTAATCCGCCTTTAAATCCTGGAGAGTTTTATCAATGACTGAAGCAATTCATCAATGTGATGATGCAGACTTACCACAATGGACCAAGATGATAGACCCTTAATAATGGCCACAAAATGTCCAACAACATTAAATTTACAGTGAAACTGAAATAACCCATCTGTGCAAAAGGTTTCAGTTTAATGACAGACGGTTTAATGAAAAAAGAAATTTAACATATGTTTCAACATATTTAAAGATAAACCAAAGTAACTGAAGATTTTTTTATTAAATTACTTACAGACATCCTTGTATAAACATTTAGGTAATCCACTTCAAAATAAATTTTGCTGTAAAGACATTTTACTGGGAAAGTGACAACATGGGTTTCTGAGCATGGTTTTCCATTTTGACCATATTTGGCATCATCTTCTTCACTTTTATTGGAAGCCACTGTAAGACTGCTACAAAAATTAAGATCATCTTAGTCACTAATAAAGTTTTTAATCATCTAATTCTATTTCTTAATTTGTATATTAAAATGTGATTAGTCATTATAAGTAATACTAGGGTCCTCACTATGCTTTAGTGGTGGTATCAAAGTCAATAATTTTATATATGTCAAACTATTTTATTACTTAGTCATTTGTAGTTCTCAGAAAATGTTATCATTATTGACATATGATATGATACTTTAATTCAATAAGCCCATCAAATTTATGAACAAAATGACAACTACATGTACATCATTAGATTTGAACTTAAAATATAAATATTTATGGTTTAGAATATCATATATATTCAACCTAGTTAGTAGTCAAAATTTCACCAGCATAATGACTGAAGGGTTACTACCATTTATTTGAAATCAAATTTAAGGAGTATTCGAGGATTCAAAAACCAAAAATGATTTTTATTCCAAGTCTTAATAATATATATCTATTAAACCATAAGCAAAAAATCTAACTTATCCAATGATAGTTGTTCACCTAATTAATTATATCACCTTCATTAATTTTAATTCATACTTCTGATCAAAGTAATTAATATCTTGTTCCAGATTAATATAACAACCACTAATGTGTCTTGATAATTTTCTGCATTTGTTAACCTTAATACCAATTAAAAGGTAAACTCCATGACTTTATTTAACTTTTTCCCAAGCTTTCAGCTACTGTGTCATAGCCATCATCAGGCCTAACTGATTATAAGCTTAAATAATCTTACAATATTATAAAGTTAAAAACCAAAAAGTGAGGAATGTTAGAACTTTGGTTATCCTTCACTTTTGTGAAAGGATATGTAACAACAAAAATATAGTATTGTCGAAAATGAATCATATTTAAAAACTAAATACAACTAATATAAAATTAAGCTTATTTGTAAGTAGTATTTAAGAGAATCACACTGAGTAGCTTTCCATTACATATCAGACAACATTCAAACAGCATTAAATTAAAACTTTTAGCCTATCTCGGGTTTTATTCTATTCCCTAAATGGGGGAATGTACTATTTTTAAGCTATATTTTTAGGTCATAGAAAAAAACAAAAGTTGATACTAAGAAATAAAAGAGAACTGAAATACAGACATGCATATAAAAGTGTCATTAATTAACTGATGAAATTTCTCTGAATTACATGCAAATGAAAGATATCTAATTTTAAAAACAGTCATAAAGTGTGTGACTGTATAATTGTGCCCATGTGAAATTATCATTAATTTTTTACATGTAAAGAAATTAATTGCAAATGGAGATCAATTAAGTACCTTTTATGCATATGTTAATTGTGTTGAAACTAGGTCAGAGTTAATTAGCTGTAAGAAGATAATGACTGTTTGTGAACATACAAGAGCAGGAGGTTTCTGTCAATGATAATAATTTAAAAGTGGCCAACTTTTACTTCTAAGTATTGTTGGCTTAAAGATCAAATGAAAAGGCTTCTTTAAATTTTGTGTCCATGTAACATTTTGTACTTGAGATTTGTGATTTTCAGAATGGGATTACTAATATGGCCAACATCACTGTTTTTGGCAAAATGTTCAGCAAACATGTTATTTGTATTTAAGTTTTTAGTATCATGGACATTTTCATTGATGTTTATGTATAAGAGGCTATTTGTTTCTTCAGTTTAAGCTTGGAACTAAACAATACATTATAATTCATAAATTAGGTTTTACTTGCAACAAAAGGGTGCCTAACCCTCATTTGGATACAGCAAATTTTGTGTTACTGCAGTGTTTTGGAGGGTTAAGTGAGTTACTCTAACACATTTGAAGGGCTGGTTTGGTTTCTCTGTAGGAACAATGGGTAAATCAAATTTCAAGTTGACTTTGGAATGCAGTTTGAATGATGTGGGGAATAACTATAGAAACATGGCGTGAAATATTTTCTACTTTGTTAGTAATCATCATGAACAGAATCCTAATGTATTTGTTGGGGTAGCCACTAGTATGAAACATATAACACAGTATAAATCTGGCAGACTATTTAATAATTTTAGAGTTCCAAACTATCTATTCTATTGAGGTAGCTAAATATCATACTGCACCTAATATATGTCAAAGAGAATTCAAAGATACAAAACCAATAAAAAAAGCCAAAAATAATCAATATTTCAACTGTTGAATGTAAAAAGAAATGAAGACAAATGGGTTTTTTTTTCCTTAGATTGTTTAAAATACCTGTAATCAAATAGCTGTCTTTGATAATTATAGCAATCAAGAACATTAAGCTACCAATTGCTATCAGAAAATTTAAGAGTGAATTCCATACAAGAAAGAATTTTAAAAACAAAGCAAGAGCTGTAAGTCACTGTTCTATAATTTAGAGAGATCACCAATAAATCTGTAACAAGAAAAGTACATTCTCTGGATAAGTGTTCATTGTTCAAGCATGTAGATAAAATTAGTAGGAAAAACAGAATAATATTATTGCTTATAGCAACTTCTTTTGTTTATTTATAGAGGTCACCTAACTCATACTAACTGAATAAAGACAAATCTTAATGCTCATTTAATCTACAAGATAGGAAAATATCCTGAAAAGGAGAGATCCTGTAGTTATCACTGTTAAAAACAGTTAGATTGTCAATACTCTCATCAATGGGAATGATTAATAAAATTGTGTACCATCAAGACTTTTTAAAGTTATTATCTTTATTGCTATGTTTCTGGAAGAAGTTCTCAATGCTTGTTAGGTAGCAAAAAAACATTAATTATGAAAGAGTGGACAGAATGGGGTTTTCAAAATCATATATTCAATTTACTCACTATTTTCATTTACTACTGCTATTTTTTTATAAAATGAACTGTTAGCTGTATAACAGTTCATTTTTGTTTACATTAACCATCTTTTGTGTTTCCCATAACCCAATAATACAGCATAATAATTTCTGTATTTCACCATTTACTAAACAGGTTCAAACATTAGTCATATAGTTAAAAGTTTTAATTTAAAGCTTTCTGATTGTTGTCTTATATGTCATATTATGAGGCTACTCACTGTGACTCCTTCAAGTGCTACTAACTAAGAAGCCTAATTATATATCAGTTATACACAGTTTTTGTATTGCACTGTACTATGACAATGATGTAAGTCAAAATACTGGTATCAGACAAATACTTTTTCTTAAGATGAAGGTTATTTCTTTTATCAAAGAAAACATTCTGTTAAAAGACAATTTCTGATTTCTGGCATTTATCTTTGTACCCTTTGAAAGTATAATGTTTAATATTGTGCTTCACTTTGTTGTACCTACTCAATTCAAGCAATACTTTTCTTGACAGTATTATTACATAATAAAAATTTAGTATATTGTCAAACAGTCAGCCTGTAACATGCTAGCCATCAATCTGAGTAATCTTGAGAAGTCTATCAAACAATGTAACTGCTAAATCTAGGGGGCTAACTATTACTTGAAGTCTTCTAGTACACTAGTAAGTGGAAGGGTCTCACACTGTACCTGTTAGTCAGTTTTCTGTTATCTTGATTTTTTCTTCTGTTCATTATCTCTCTAACTAACTAACAGAACATTCAAAACTAGTAATCTTTATGATTCCTGGTCTTTATTTGAGTCAATAACATATGTCTTGATACATTTTTAAGAATGAATAACACCTGTGAGGGCATTTGGACATAAATTTTGGAAGAAGTAATAGCAGATGATTTCATTCCTTGGATTCTGCCAAATTATGTATATAAATAATGTATGTTGAAATCTGCTCTTTCTATTTAGTTTTAACTAAAAAAGAAGTAAGTGAAAATAATACTCTTGCTGTGAATAAGGTCAGACTGATGGTAATTTCATTATGAACCTGCTTGCCACTGGTAAAGCCTTTCATGACCCATACAATTTTAACGGTGGTTATATATTTCATATAATCCTTTCACTGCATTTTCATCCTTATAGAGGTTGTATTATTTTGTTACATGCAACTTCAGTCGTTAGCCTGTTGCATGGTCCTCTATTGGAGCAACTTAGATTTTAGATGAAATAGCATTATATTCCTCACAAACAAATTTAAAAAGCTTGTGATTCACCTTGAGCCCATTCATTTTTAACATACATTCGTTTTTGTAAGAGGCATTATTTTAATAGTGTTTCAAGAATTTATTTCTTTTCAGTGAAAAATGAATAATGATATAAAATAATGACATTCTACAATGATTATTGAATCCTTCCAAAAGCAAACATTTGTTTTATCTGACTTCACATGAGAAGCAGATTAGAAGTCTAATTCAATGACGAGAAACCCACTTTGAGACTTGGAGATGGCTTGAATGGGTAATGAAGAAAAACTTTAATATAAGTTTAACATAACAGCAAAT